GAAGGTTTGGTGGATATGTTTGTTGCCTTGACTTAGGTAGATAAACAAATAAAAATATGGTATTCCATGACTTCTTCCCAACATTATTATACTTTCTTTTTTCTGTATATAGAAATTGTTTCCATCTTTTTATTTCTTGATATCTCATTTCTAAATTAAAGGTGGTTCAGTGACTTAATGACACTGGTGATAGTCTTTGCTATAGCAGTTTGAGTTTTAATACTACGTGGCAGAGTGAGGTTTTGTCACTCGCCTCAGCTTCTACCCACCTAGCAGTTTGAAGGCCTGTTACAGGTAAATAGATAAATAGGTACCACATGAGCTGGTGCTTCATGTGGGCAGTTAGAATCCTGCCGGCACTGAATCTTCCTAGTTATAATGCCCTTTGTGAAGCAGCTTAGGTGGAGGTAGAGGGCCTCAGGTGACATTGCAGAAACACTGCTCATCTTTCTTTCAGGTTTGGAGTTAGCTCGCCCTCCTGTAGCACACCTTGGGAAGCCGCAAGCATGAACCAAACAGGGCTGGCAAATAGGCAGCCAAACTACTACTCTGCATTAGCACTGTAATCTCCTAGGTAATGTATCATTGCCATATGCTAAATACATAAATAAATTTCTTGACTGCAAATTAGACCTGTGACATAGATGCTGTTACAATTTCAGTTCATGCTTTGGTGAGCTTTTAAATCTTATTTCACAAACTTTTTATCTATGTATCTTTCCCGAAAAATAAATATTTTATTAACCAGATGGTTAATAGAGGAGAAGGTAGTTTTTTTTCATAATAAGAGAGACTCAGTGGCAACATTCTCCTTAGTATGAGACACCGCCAAAACATTTATTCAAGGTCAAATTATAGCTTATGCGTTTGATGAAAAGAAAAAGCAATTAGTTAAACCTCCAAAGGATACATTCAATTTTAGAAACTCTTTATGCATTCCATCCATTTTCTAATCAATAGAGATCCTGTTTCTTTTAATTATGAAGTAAACAAGCTTCATGTCTCCAAAACCATTTTTATTACAACCCACAAGGAAACAAAACTGGAAATGGAGAGAACCAGCTACTGAAATAAACTATTCTCTTTCAGAAGAAGTAAGCACTGCAGTATTTTACCATCAATTGTGTTTTGGATACATCATCCCCATCCAGAAAATTATTTTCTTTAGGGTACAGAATAAAGAAGGGATCATCAGCTGTACTATTTTCCATCACCATCCTGCTACTGTTATGAATATAAAACAGTTAAAACTGGAATAACCAAAGGTCACCTCCCTTAACATTGTCCATATTAATCCACAGTATTGTTTTCAGTGGTTTTAAAAGCTATGTGTCTTTTAATGAAGGTAGACATAGAGATATAATCTAAATTATTATTATTAAGTCTTCTTTTATTTTTATCTTTGTCTCTTTCCTTGCCTTTTTGCAGTTAACTGTCCTCTTTCTGAAATTAACTTACTTTAAAGTTTTTTTGACATTTAATAAACATCAACTTAGAAATATTCCTAGAAACTAAACTGAGTAGTGTGTATGTCTATGTTTTCTATGTATGTTTGTCTGGGTATGTGTGTGAATGTGCTTGCCCTGATCTAGATATATGGATTGAGTGGGAATGTTTTGTGTACCAACTAAACTGGAAGAAGCCAATAAAAGTTATCCAATAATTTCAAGATAGTGGGAGAAATTTAACATAACTTTGTCAGAGTTTTTAATTTTCTTTTGTAAACTGTATAATTCCAATTCTTTATCAATGTATCATGGGTTAGGTTTTTGTTTACAGAATGTAAGATTACTATGATACATTCATTACAAAGCCAGGCAACAAATCCAATTTCACTTGTTTTATTTTAAGAAATGGCCACCACATTTCAAACTATGAAACTAGGAAAATTGTCTTAACTGATAAGAGTTTAAGTTAACGTAAGCAAAATCATGGTGAAATTTCATCTTCTATTTTGTTAGAAGTACCAGGTGAAACTTTTTGAACTAAATTCATACTATGTAAATTTTACAAGTATTACAGTTATTACCAAGCCAGAAAAAGATTTTTTCCTTGATTTCTAGTTACATGCCTATCTTTGGTATAAATATGGATGTCTTGATTTAGCAGCTATTCTGTCTCATCTAGTACAATTTGATAATAACTGATAGTAATTTGGAACATAGCTCAAGTTAGATTTAAATGGGACCACAGAGTTCCAACAACATTAGGTAAAGGTAAAGGTTTCCCTCGCACATATGTGATAGTCGTTCCTGACTCTAGTGGGCGGTGCTCATCTCTGTTTCAAAGCTGAAGAGGCAGCATTGTCTGAAAATGTCTCCATGGTCATGTGGTCGGCATGACTAAATGTTGAAGGTGCACAGAACACTGTTACTTTCCCACCAAAGGTGGTCCCCTATTTTTCTATTTGCACTTTTTACATGCTTTCGAACTGCTAAGTTGGCAGAAGCTGGGACAAATAACGGGAGCTCACCCTGTTATGCGGCACTAGGGATTGAAACTGTCGAACTGCCAACCTTTTGATCAACAAGCTCAGCGTCTGAGCCACCGTGTCCCTCAAACAACATTAGATTGTTAATTAATGTGCTTCTCCTAATCCAGATGTACTGCTGGCTATCAGCCTTGGCTGGCTTCAAAAAAACAAAGGCTGAACCAATTCATGGATGTTATAGGAAATAGTTAGCCTTGATGGTGGTGTGACTGTCTTTAAAGGCCATCTGCAGGAGGACAAGTGGACTTCCTTGTTCGATTGATTGGCCACTATGAGAACAGCCTGCTGGACTAGATGGATCAAAGGTCTGATTCAGCAGGCTACTGCTTATGTTACTTCGTTTCTATGATAGACAATCCAACAGTTATAACACCTTTGGCCTGTGAAAAAGAAACTTTTAATATAGTTTCTTGTAAGTTTTTGAGATAGCTTTTGATGTATTTCAGATTTTCAAAAGTTTTATCTACTTGGATTGATGTGATGTCCTTTTCCCCTTTGTTTTCAAATCAGCTAAGTGCCTTTCTAATGTTTCTTGCCTGTTTTATTCTGCTGAAAATGTTAGATTGTAAAATG